TCTCTTCTCCCCCCACCCCTATCAGTGGCAACCTGCTGGGAGTCTAGTGCTAGGCCAGAGGGGTGAGTTTTTCTCCCCCACCCCCTCCTCAGCCATTCAGAGGAGTGATAGTGCTCCAGCTAGAGAGCAGAAGGACAAGGAGATCCTGCTCACTAGAGCAGACAGCACAGCCCAGGGCTGCAAAGCATCATGGGATGCTGAGGGACTGTGCGGTAACTTGAACTGGGAAGGGGTCTGGGACAGCAGTTCCATAAACCAGTTTGACCTAAATCAGTTAAATCTAGTTGGATGTAGTATCAGACTTATCTTAAACCAGTTTCAGCCATTTTGAAAGTGGCTTAATTGCACTGAACTTCTATTCTGTTACAAGTTTAAGCCAGTTTCTGATCACTTAAACTGGTTTATATGTAACTTCTTATGTCCCTAGCCTTAGTTTCTGTACTTTAGGCATACATTTCCATTCAGAGCATTATGTTTTGCTGAACAGGCATGGTTGCCACTCAAAAGCAGGGTTGGATCCAGGGGGGATGAGACGCACACTGGTGGGCTCCCACCTCCACTTTGATTCCTGCTCCAGCCAAAGTTTAAAACATGGCAATGGCAGCAGCATTTCTAGCCAGACAGTGCTAGGGGTGCCAACTGACTTCATGGCTCACTGCCATCTACCTGATCCCTTCTGAACTTTTCATTCCACAGGTGTTAACAACCCTTTCTTCTTTTTACTGGTCTTGTTCCACTAATCATCCTTTGCTGTGTAATTTTAGCTGCTTCTGGTAATGTAGCTCCTATTTCAGAGCCCTGCAGATTGTTTTTAGCTCATTCTAATGAAGTTCTGTTTCTTTTATTTGAAATGGAATAATAAAACCTTGGGCCTCTATCATATTAGTAACACTTCTAGTTTCTTTTTAACTGGAGAAGAATACATATTGTTTTTATATATGATGATACACCTCACCATCTGTACCCCATTTTTCAAAATTCTAGATCCACCCATGCTCAAAGGGCTAAAACTGGGAAAAAATAGTTGTGTGTTTTTGTCTTACTACAAGATATAATATAAGGGATGTTCTTCATTTTAAATCAGACAATAGGAAGAAGCACTGAAAGAAAACCAGGGTAGTTTAAACTTCCAGGGATCCTCATTAGTTCAGAGGGTTATAAATTAAAGTAAATGAAACTGCAATAGCATCAGGTCTACATGAAACAGAGAGATGTTTGATGAGTTGTATGGTATTAATGAGAGACAGATGAGATATGAGTCAAGCCTTCTGCATAAGTTACTCTGTGATTGATGCTTGCTTTGAGGCCTGCACTGAGATTGCTTACACACTACATGATGTACTTGTCACTTACACTTCAAGAAAGAAAAAGTGACTTCCCAATGGGAAGAAGTTTTGAAACCTATCTTGTAACTCAAGTAGGTAGCAAATCTTTTAGGCTTGATTCTTCGATTACATTTGTTGGTATAAAACAGGAATAACTTAACTAAATGCAGTACAGTATAAATAGTTGGAAGTCTTATCTGCATCAGAACAAATTTGCTAAGTAGGCAAAATTTGCTGTTTTCAGTTAGGAGTATGATTTTTTTTTTAACCATGTTAGCTAGTAAAGTATAAATCTTAGTGTTATATAAGGCATACTTGTAAAGATTTATTTTATCACTTGAACTGGAATAAGATATATAGATATAACTACTTTTATACTGGCATTACTGGTGGATGTCTAAACATGTGCTTGGGGAGGAGAGTGGGGGTTAATTAGAGCGGCTCGTGGGAGCCACTCTAATTAAAATGATGCAGAGTCTTCTACATGCAGTTTCCCATGTTTCAAAATGGTGGTGGGGTGCTTTAGCTAAAGCTCATTTGTGTTTCCCCGAGGAAAAGTAGCAACAGCACATCTTGAGCTACTGCTACTTGTCCCCAGGGAACATCCATGCCACACATGCTCTAGCACATGGCTTATCGCCCTGGGTGGAGTAGGGAAGGTTGAGGCCAGCACCTGTGCTGGCCCCAGCAGCTCTACTTGGGGTCCTGGGGGCCTCTAGGAGCTGTAGACACAACGTTCCTGCAGCAGAGCCCCTGGCCAGCAGCCAGAGTATGGCTCCAGCCAACTTGGCTCCAGTTTTGGATGGCACACAGTGCCGTCATGTGTGCTGCCATGCTTTTTTTAGACATGGGGTTTTTTGATTTCAGGATGTCCTGGGGTCAAAAAAACCCCACAGCGTGGGGAACATGTGCATGTGCAGTGCATGCAGGTGTCTGTGGATGCCACAGATAGCATGTCCATACTCATCTGGACGTGCCCACTATGTCCAAAGTAGGAAGCTTGTACTGTTTAACTACTCCACATAGACTTTCCCTGGGATGAGAACTGGATCCTCTGTTTTTGTAACCCAACGGTGAATCTTCTTTTTGAATTATTTTTCCTACTTTATGAAAACATTACACCCATGATAGTATAGGAATGGCTGAGGTGGCATTTTTTTATAGCTTATTGCTTTAGTACTTTATCAGACCTAGTCCACTTGGATTAAGTGTCTCATGCTGTCTCTTGTGTTCAAGGAGAGCATTATTAATACTTATACTGTATTTACATTAATCTATATTAATATTTATATTAATTTATCAGATTAATAATCAATTATTGTTAATAATGGCCATTGCTTTTTACTTCTGAATATCTTATGCTGTCGCTTAAACCAGTACAAAGTGGCTATAAAGCAACAGTTCTGCATTTTGTACCTGCTTTTTACTTATTTAGGTGTTAATGACTACAAATGGTGCAAAACAGAGGAGAATCAAGCCCTGTTGTTGAGATTTTTGTTGTTGCTGTGGGTTTGAGTAGTTTGAAGCATGGAAGTTAACTCAGCATGGAAAAAGTTTTCTCAGTCATTAAACACACACACACAATCATGCAGATGCTGTCCTTGCATTTGGAGAATTCAGAAATGGTTTGGATTTAAAACTTCAGACTTGGCAGGCACATAGTCCTCAAGGAATGTGTACTTTGCTAAATCAAAAAAATGCTGTGAAATTAAGAAAATAAAAGGGGAATTCTGTTCTGTGAAGGACATTTCAAGGGCCAGATTCTTCATTCTGATTGCACTCATGACCTCCACTGTGTATTTTGAATTCACTCAGCATAGGTCAATGAATTCACTGAGGTCAAAAAGCCACTTTATAGATCCACCGTGCTAAAAAGATATATGGAACTTGACTTTTTTGTGCAGGCACATAGGACCCTGCTAGCACCAGAACTGGTACACTTCTGTGTAGGAAGTGAAGGAAGGATATGGCAAGCACATAGAACAGGCGGGGTGTCCTTGAGCTCTATGGGGCTCAGCTGCTCAGTGGCTTTTTGAATGCTGCATCACAGCACGGATTTGGGAGGGGATTGGAGCTGGTAGATCTGTTACATGGGGTTCCCTCTCTCTCCTATGTAACAGAAGAGGTAGGCAGTGTGGATCTTGTATGGCAACACAGCATGTTAAAAAAGATTCCTTTCCACCCAGCCCATAAGGGAACACCCCAGCATACTTCTTGGCAGCTAACACATCAGTGTTAAGATTTAGACCTAAACAGATACTAAGTACAAGTGAGGCAGCCAGATAGACACAGCTGCAAGGTCATTTAGGAATACTTGTGGGGAAAGAAAAATTACTGATGAAATTCTGGTACTGGCTTCCAGCATAGTTTCTGGTCCTACATTCCTTTACTCTGACCATTTACATATTTGATACACATCTTCAGGAAACAGACTTCACATCAGAAGGTAATTTTTAGGTGAGGAAAGGAGAAAGGAAATGAATACTAGGAGGAGTGATAAGTATGCAGGTCCATTAACAATCAGAGCCATCTAATCACTTTATGCCTCAGTTTCCACATGGGACTAATGATCCCTGCACTTTTGTAAGAAGTGCTTTGAGATCTATGGATATGTAGAGCAAAATACAGATCAAACTAAGTACCAGGTCCTAGTCCACTTATCATTCATCTAAGTGGTACTTGGGAGTCTAAAAAACATTTGTATAAAAGGTGAGTGGGTCATCTTCCTTGTAGCTTTTGATAACTTAGATTTAAAGCTAAAATGAAGGCATATTACATAAGTGCATAGTCAATGCTTTTTCAGAGGCTGTAGGAATAAGAGAACACTTAGGGGGTGTGTAGACAAAACAGGGGCCCTAAATTGAAACGGTGGGTTTTTAAAAACACCACTTCAATTTAGGGCAAAGTAAATCCTCGTGTTGTGTACACCCGTGTCTTACCTGCCTTTCTAGAGGCAGGGAGGGGAGGGTGAGCTGCCAGTGAGCGGAACAGTCCCTGGGCTGCGGGGGAGGGACGGGTTGGTGCTTCCCTCCACAGCAGCAGCAACCCACCCTCTCACCCCCCACCCCCCCCCGGCAGCACCTGCCCGCAGGCACCCAGCTCAGGCAGCCCCGGAGGGCACCACAGCTGTGGAGGGAAGGACTGGGTCCCTGCACAGCTCATGCAGGCAGACAGGCTCCGGGGTAGGGGGGAAATCAGGCTCACTCCTTTTTTTTTTTTTTTTTTTTTTTTTTTCTTTGGGTGACCCTTTTTTCCCGGGCGGCCGGGGAGCCTGCTTTCCTGGGCTGCTGCGGGGCTGCCTGCACAGTCCCTGAGCTGCACGGAGCCCAGTGCTTTGCTCCGCAGCTGTAGGGCAGCAAACTAAAACTTTTTGGAGGTGTTTTAGTTTGCTGCACCCCAAAGCCATTTAAAACACATTATGCCACCAAATGTGCTACACTAGCTGGAATCAATGCGCAATACACTGCCAACACATGCGAACACCAACACCATTAAAGCAGTGCAAAAACATTTAACCCACTTTAAAGTACCTTGCACACATGCCCCACATTTCATCTACACACGCCCCTAGATACCTAAGTGTCCCATAGAAACCTAATAAGATCTGGTTCTAGGTATTTTTACTGTTACATTCAATTATTAAAGGTTTTTGTTTGTTTTCTTTTTTGGACACAGGAGCTGTGAAGGACGAAACATTCGATACAGAACATGCAGCAATGTGGTAAGTGAAATTTAACTGTCAGAGTCATACTAATAATTAAATAAATGCTGAATATGATAACATAATATAAATAAGTAAAGACTGAAACACTATGATGGTTCCATAATTATTCCTGGTGCCACAAGAGTACTGGAAAATTATTTTTCCTCTCTGGAGCTAATCTAGAGGGTATGGAGGAGATATGGTAAGATGATTATCTTGCCTGGTTACAGTTACTAGTTTTATAAAATAGACTAATTCAGTGAAGCTTGGAGATGTGGATTCTCCATTAAGTATTGCCACTGTGGTAGCACCAAGGGCCTCGTCCTCTGCTCTTTATTTTAGTAAAACTGTGAATTTCAGAAGATCTGACTGCAGGACTGAGCCTTGAAGGATCAATCTCCACAGAAGAGAGGAGGAAATTGTTGACAGGCAGCAGAGGATAACATGTTTACCCAAATCCAAAACAACTTTGAATATAAAATAACCCCCAATACTTAGATTCTATGTATGGAAAAGTTTTAATAGGTTATAATTTTCCAGGCATAGTACCTAATTATTGGAGCATCATCTTAAATTCATCCCCCTCCCGTACTGCTACAGTGGGGAAAGCAGTGGTAGGTCCCGGGGGTGGGGGGTGCATCTCCTTTGCCCTCTGCCTCCCTACTTCTTCCCCCTACAGCCTGCCTGCCTGTCCATTCCCTGGTGCCTACCTCCCACTCCCTCTTCACCCCCAGCCCTTTTCCTATCCCCAGCTCCCCAAAGCCTCTGCCACCCCCCTGCCACCCGCCCGCCTTTACAGTCAGATGTAGCTCTGGCTCAATTCCCTCCCCAGTCATGGAGCACTTGGAAATGCAGCCCCTGCCTAAGCAACACAGCAGTGTCCCAGAGCTGGAGTGCACTGTTGCTGATTGATTGATTGATTGATTGACTGGGCAGAGCATGGAGTTCCCATGTGCTCCATGACCCAGGAGAGAATTGAGCTGGAACTGGAGCCAGAGCCAGGACAGTAAGTAGAGGAAAGGGGCAGAGACTGCAGGGACAAGCAGGAGGGGAAGAGGCTGCTGATGGAGGTGGAGCGGGGGCAGGTGGCTGCCATGGATGTGACTCTGGCCCTGACCTGGGCTTAGGGCCAGAGTCAGAGCTGCAGCAGCTCACTACGTAACTGTAATTTCTCTCTCTTTCTCTCATTCATCTGTTCTCTCCCAGAATCAAAAGCCTTTTAAACAGCTATTTGAAGGGGGTTTTAGACAGTCCCTGCACTCACTGTAATGAGTAGCAGTTATAATTTAGCAATGTTCCGTAATGAAGACTACAGAAATTGAGAATTGGGAAATGGTCCTTCGGTTAGGGTAGTTGGTGAGAGAGAGACAAGGCTAGGTACAGACATTCAAAAGCTGGAGGCAAGATCAGTCTACAGAGGTTGCCTACAAGTTGTTTAGTTCTTCTCACTGATGTATGCCTTTGTTTATTGAACTCAGTGAATATTACACTTGTCTCTGATATTTTGCCAACCTCTGCCACTACAAAAGTTTTTCACTTATATTCTACCATAGAACACAATTTCCGATACAATAAAATAAGAAGCCCAACTTCTGCTCTCACCAGAATAAAGAGCTGATTTCACTGGGGAAAGTGGAAACAAGGACTATAATGTGGAAAGTCTTGTTTGATTCCAAGAATTGTAAAAATTCTCAAATTTCATGAATCAACATCAGTTCCACCAATAAAAATGGAAAATGAAGCCAAACATGCATGAGGCCAGCTTTTTACATGCTTCACAGGGCCAAATTCAGAGGCCTTTCAATGGGAGCTTTGTCTGAGATACAAAAACTGAGTAAACTCCTCTGGATTTGGCTCATTTTGTTTTTCACAGAGCACAATTTGCAAAGCAATATTTGGTTGTTCCTGCACAATACCATTCCCCCATTCATAGGGAATTATTGTTCTTTTGTCTCATGCTTCTGCTTCAGTCAAAAGTTGAAGTAGACTCTGGGAGTATTCTTTGGGTCACTGAAATCTTCTTTCCGTCTAGACATGTGCTTCGCTAACTGACAACAACTGGAGTAGTCAGTAAATAAGCCTGCCTGCTGCTTCATGGGCCATTTTCCAGCTGTGAGGCACTTATACTACACCAGGACATTGAGGAGAGCAGGAAGGTTAATTTGTGTCAATCAAGTTGCATACTGTAGGTTCATGGAATATAATATGAAACAAAGGAAAAAGACACTGTCAAGCCTGATAGACCTATAATTAAACCTTCCAGCTTTGTTTTGGTTTGTGAGTGCGCACACATCATATCAGGCCTCCTTCCCTGCCTGCACTGCTCCTGTGAACACTGAGGGGACTGATGTGTACTAGGATCCTGCTCTGCATGGGTTTGTTGTTGCTGGATCACCCTGCTGAGTAGCTGAGATTTCACATATGTCACAAGCCTTGTTTTGGAATTGCTGTACTGATCTTTCCAAGACAAAGAGGAAAGTTTTGTTTTTTTTAAATGTTATTTTTAGGTTAGGTTCAGTTTTGGGCTCGTGGACCTGAACAATTTTCCTTCATAATAAAAGCTCATATAGCTTTGCCTAGATGAAGTATCTTAACTTACCTAATATTTAACAATATTGGCTCCAAAATTCTAAATAGGTCAGTAATGTGGCTAGCTGCATGTTGCATTTAATTATCCAATGCCAGTTAATCAAAGCTTGCATTCCTGGGATGAAATCCTGGTCCAATGGAAGTCACTGAGAGTTTTGCTGTTGACTTCAGTGGAGCCAGGCCTTCACCCCTAACTTGAAAACTCCAAAAGGAGCTCATTTGAGATGCTGCCGTGCTAAATATTGTTACACTGTTCTCTTATCCCTAAAAAATGATAGCTTTTTCCCCGCTTTTCTTTCTCTACTGCTGAGTGTTTACTAGCAGGAATAACCCTAATTAAATCTTCAAGCTTCAGACCTTCAAATGATTGTTTTGGTCGCTTGGTAATAATATCTGGTTGGAAGATCTAGCATACCTTTATCAATAGAAAAGGGTTTCTCCATATAATCACATGCTTATAGAATTATTGTATTTAATTGTTTTCGATTTGCTTTCTTTTTGCCATTATGAAACATACTAACAGTTTGAGATAAAAGGGTCTTCATTTTTAAAAAATATATCAGTAGTATTTGAATGCACAGCCATCACAATAACACATGCAAAACAGGTCTTACAAATATATAATTGGCTATATAACTCTCTCATGTGGTCATGCACAGGGACAGAAGCACATAGTTACCTGCATAATTTTGCTTACAAACCTCAAGTATTCTCTCTCAAAAATATTTTTCACAAAGACACAGAAGCAGAGGGACCTCTGGGTGAGCCCTGCATTTACCTCTAGCATGGGGCAGTACCTTTTGCTTTCAAGGAAGATAGGAATAAAAAAAAACCCATAATGAAATCTAGCCAATCATACATTACGTTACAGATGGAAAATTTTCTTTTTGATTCCTGTAGGGTCAGCTTATCCCCTGAAATGTGAGCTTCAATTACCACTAGACTAGTGCACACAGCTTCTACACTGGTGTTATTGATTATGAAATTAGCCAGATGTGTAGTTTGGAGGGGGATGGTTATTTCCTGCCAAGTGTAGCTATCTCTGAACTCACACACCTTTATTTATATGACTATCACCTCTCAGAAAAGGACAGTCACAGTTACAAATGTTTAAAAGCAGGCTCTTTGTTTGGGGAATGAAATTAGAGAACTGGAAGTGTACTTCTTGGAGTTTGGCAGTGAGCACATTTTCACAGACATTATCATTTGTGGGATTTTTGCCACAGCTGTTTTTAATTCATCTAGAAATTAGATTACTGGAAAAAATAGAATGGAATAGGGGAGAGGAGAGGAAAGGGGTGAGAGAGGTGCATCTGTTTCTTCAGTGCTCTTTGAGAGCTGGTGAGTCCCATTCACAGCTGGGGGCTGGGAGAGGTTGATACCACTGTCTATAAAGCTATTGAACAGTCCTGTAGAGAGACACATTTCATTCTACATGCTCACCACTTAAGCTGCCTTACAGTGTTGGGAAATTGGAAACATGAATGTGAATCCACATGTATAAATAGTGAAAGCAGGAGTGAGAGAATCTGAAGCTGATTTGGGTTCTGCGTTATTTAGAATCTTTTTGTAAAAATACCAACATTAATTCCAAATATTTTTCCGACCACGTTAGTTTCAGGATTGTAGGGGAGAGATCCATTTGTTTTCCTTTGGAAAGCTATGGTAAATGCAGTAAAAACACAATTTTTTGTCTCTCTGGATTATTATATGTCTTGCGGTATGAAAAATAAACAAACATTTAAAAAAGTTACTCACTGCGTGAAACTTCTAGAGTTGGATTCTTCTGCAGTGCCATGTTTTAAGCAGATAATAGATGGATTTTTTTTTGAGCTGTTGAATTCTGCCTTTTCTTTCTTTTAGGCACTCTCTCAGCTGCCAGTTTCTTTCCTACTTTTGGTGCAAGACTATTGTTCTACCTCTTTTTAACCCTTTCTCTCTGCCTCTCTACTCCTTTCATCTCACAAATCTCTTTCCTTTCTCTTTCTTCATTTCCTTTAAGTTTGGCCTTGAACCTCTACTGTCCCCATCTACTGTCAGACCTTTCTTCAGGATTGAAAATGTTTAGATCTACCCATAGGCAGACAAGGTTCCTTGGGTGAATTTGATATCTTTTATTAGACCAACCCAAATAATTGGAGAATAGTTATTAAGCAAGCTTTCGAGTTCAAAAACCCTTTGTCAGGCTAAGGAAGTTTCAGCAGTTGGTGTGTACTCTTCCTGGATGGGCCAACAATAACCAACTGCTGAAACTTCCTTAGCCTGACGAAGGGTTTTTGAACTCGAAAGCTTGCTTAATAACTATTCTCCAATTATTTGGGTTGGTCTAATAAAAGATATCAAATTCACCCAAGGAGCCTTGTCTGCCTATGTCCTTAGACCAACATGGCTACAACCTACACCCCTGCAACATAGATCTGCCCATGGTA